GGCCACCTAACCCTGAATAACCAGAAATTTCATTGAATCCATTTTACAGTGTACACAATGATGAATACAATTATATTCCAGGAGATGGAAGAAAGAAAGTTTTGCTGGTGTTGTACATAACACTCACAGAGTTGGATATCAAGAATTGTGTGAAAGTTCTTTTGAGAGATGAGAGATGGTAACATCTGCTGATAATATCATCAAGCAACGCAGTTATATTCTGAAAGAAAGAAATCTTGCAACATGCAAAATAATTCGACACACAAACCCTCCAAGTTTCCAACAAATTCCTAAACTGAATCTGGATAACATGAGTCAAGGTGTCACAAAGTCGTGTTAGATTTTTGGTGTAACTTCTCTTTAAGGGAGACTGTATCTTTAAAGTTTGTTTTGTTGTTTATATAGATTAGATTATCACAGTGTATATTTATGTGAGTAACTTAGGGTCTGGTTAATCGAAAATGTATTGACGTGTAACTTTAATAGTATCAAAGCAGGCTTAGCATGTGCATTGGTTACACGGGGTATAGTAGACTTAAAGTATTTAGTTTCGTGGCTCATTCCGATTTAATCAGAGTTTTGTCGTTGGTCTGGTCGTTCAGCGTTTCGTCGTAGATGTCTTGATAGAAATCCATTAGTTTCCTCAGCTCTACTTTTTGTAATGTAGACTTCGACTAGTCTTGAGTGACATAATGAAAATGGTCGATAGTTGATAGCTGATATGGTATAGTTCTATGATAACTTATTAAATGGTACTAATAGTCTGGGTGACAATTATATAAAATTAGTATTCATCTAATGGTGTAGAAATGTTGTCTGGGTGACGCAACAAGGCATTTCTGTGTCTATCGGACATACTAGTAACGAATTATGGAGACAAGACTGTAGACGACCAACCTTTTGTTAGGGTGTAATCTGTATCCCTATGTGTGTGGTTATTGGGTTATGTGTAACCTGTATTCTGTACTGATATCTGTTACGTGTAATATTGTGTACGGATGTGCCAGTTGAGACTGAGATCGTAGTGTAATTGTACTTATGATGGTAGACAAATCTTACGGGAAAACTTTTATTAGCATGATAGCTGAAGAATATGATCATGAACTGAAATTGGGGGGTGGTTGTGTATATTTTTATGTTTATTGTTGTTAAATTTGTATAATATGTATGTGTTGTTGCCGGCTAAGTCAATTTGTTAATTAATATCTCTTATTATTGAGTCTTCTTTGGGTGATTCTGATGTGCAAAGCATTCCGTCCGTCCATCCTGTGACACAAGGCCACAAAGAACTCTTTTACTGGAAAATTATCTGACTCTATTACAGTTCTTCTAACCAGATTGTGCCTAATTTTGTAGGATATAGTAATAACTTTTGTAACAGTGTCAGTGAACATCATAGAGGCTTTGGTACATAGTCCTAGAATAGAGCTAATGAAAAAATCAACCAATCATTAGCTTAGAATCCATTCAAAAAGTTTTATCATTTAGTCAGAAAAATTCTGGATGCTGTATGCAGATATCACCAATATTCAATCACTGAAGCACTTCTCAAACAATGTCTGAAACTTGAAAACAGAATACTTTAAGTTAAGTTAGTGCTAAAAATAGAAAAGTGGAGGGCATATCTGTTCAAAGAGACATCCTGGGAGTTGTGGCAGCCAAGTCACAACCCATTGGCCTTGTGTGTGGCATTGATTTACCCCCTTTCTAGCATCAGCAGTTGGAACACTAAGAAAGACTGCTAAATCCAAATGGTTGGATGAACTAAATATTCAGTCTGTTAATTCAAACATTTTTTCTAATGGAGGTCTTTACCTATTGGACGTTATAGCCTAGATCAGAGCCATTTTGATTCTTACAACATTTTGATATCTTGCTAAACGACTAATATTAGACATGCCTAAGACATTCAAATCATATAAATGGTGTGGGATGAGCATTCAAAGTATAATTGACATGAAAATTCCAAACATACATTCGTTCCTCAAAAAAAATCATAACAAGGAGAACAAGTGAAATTGAAAAGGTCATCATGAATTATGAAATCCTTAGAGACAACCTAGTCTACTTTGCACGGGGTACATTGATTTAGCTACTAAAGTACGTTATTAATGTTTTTGGAAGAGATACTGAGCAAGACTTTATCTGCATCTGGAGCTACAATTATACCAATAATTATGCTTGGCCACCTCCACCTCCAAATATTTGTGTTTTTCAGGATAATGGTACTAATAAAAATAGACAGATGCTAGATGTATATTCATTGACACTTAACCCTCAACAAGCCAAGCCATGCTAGGTTTCCACTGTTTGACTGGAAACTGGAATCGTCCTTTTTTCGTAAGGCAACAAGAAGAAAAGTAAAAAACGAATTGTTTTTTGGAAAGTCTCAGCCAGTTGGGGAGAAAGGATTCAGTGACAGATAATCTTTATGGTGAGCTTAACAGCCAGTTACAAGTGTTTATGAAGCCAGGTATAGAATTTTCTGATGTGGCAGAGTTACTTGCTGACATCATTTAAAACGATGAATCCATCTAAATATGTGGATTGCTTGTCATGTAATTTTATTGCTGTATGATATTTAGTAATTTAACCTGTTAACTTGGTTTTGGGGTGATTACATCATAGTCTTGTGGCATCGCCCTGATGACGTCATAAATAGATCAAGATGATGTCAAAATGAAAAATTTGTTGTGTGTATTTTGTGATAGATGTTTCCTATAAGCTTATAATACATTTTGATGAGTCATTTTTATGATATATGACCTTTATTTGGCCTTTTGACCCAGTTTTTACCAGTCATATTGGATTCTCTATATAAATATCTCTAAAAATCTAGAAATGATTTCAACAAATATTAGTGCTTCATGCAGAATCTGTGTCTAAATATCAACTATGAGTATGGATAGCAATAACCAAAGTAAACTGATATGACCAATGGGTTATGAGACTGCCGATAATCGCTTGTAAAAGTGATTTTGATTGGCAAAAAATAGATTGTAGTGTGACCACAAATACACGACCTTGCTATAACTCTAATTAAATTACAATGTAAGACAAAAAAAAAAAAACAAATCGTAATCTAATTTTAATGGATGGGCACACAGCAGAGAGGTAATCATCACCAGAATGTTAGAGTTTGAAATACACATAATTTGCTATCAATATATTTGTTAAGTCTGATAAGATGCATCCTCCACCAGCTTTTCAATAATACTTTTACAGATGATTGACTTTGATATATTTTAGCTTGTAATCATTCAAGAAACACAATTCTTGAAAATTATCAAGAACAGAAGAAAACCCAATATCAAGACCCTTAATCCTCATTTCTAAATAAAGTGTCTGCTCCAACCTAGGCCTGTACATTTGGGAGAATCAAACCCTCCCTTCCCCGAAATCAAAAACCGTTGATCAAAAGATTATATCACATCTAATTTCACTAAAATCAGTTAAAAACTGTTGTGTCTATTGCGTTCACAAGCCAGTTTTGGACTGACAGACAGGGCGACGACAATATACAACCACATTATGATGTGGGTGTATAAAAAGTTCAGTTTATACTACAATTTTTCAATGTAAGCCAATGCTTAAGCAAGAAACTGATTGTGCATATAGAACAAGGCTTGAAATAACTCCAGAAATTGGGCGAGACATTTGAAATTTTGTACTGGACATAAAAAATATTGTATAGTGCAATACAGGTTAACAACTAGCTAAGTATAGTTTATGTAATTCAAATAGGCCGTAGGGATTATTTATATTCCCGATGACTCTCAGGAACGATAGAGCTGTAATTAAATTAAGTCTTGTTGAAAAATTCTGGGAACATAAAAAAAGAGCCATTGGAAGTAATAACTTATCTGATTGGACAAGAAAAGATATCTATTTATATCAGCCAATGAATTTCTTACTTTCATTATTTTTCTACTTTCGGTTTTAAGAATACTCGTGTTTGTTTAACATGGTGCCTGACAATTTCCTCCGGCTCAGTGTATATCTTTGTATAAAAATTCTTATGTAATATTTGAAATAAAAGTATAAAAGCGCGATTAGACTTCATGATTATAAAATATAGTATCATATGAAAGATCATCTCATGTTTATATAAGTAATTATAGAATTAAATTTTCTAAAAGATTCAAACGACTTGATTTGAACTAGTGTCAACACTGTTCATTCGTGTTTTGACTTGATAATCAGGACCTTGCATGTCTTCTCTAGGTGCTAGTTATCTGGAGGATCTAGACTATGTTATTGTCGTTTCAAACCTTTTTGCTCTATCTGAGGCGAGAAATGTCAATCAGTTACGCGAAAAAGAACATTTTTCAAGAACACGACGTCTTTGACAATATTAACGGCCAGAATAGCTGATAATTTACGATCTATTCAACAAGAAAAATAATATTTTTCCATAGATTTGGTACCGGACAAAAATGTCTAGCTCAAACGATGATTGTGCCGGACATTTGCCAAAATTGTACCAGATAATGTCTGTGTCCGGACGCTTATTTCAAGCCTTGATATAGAAGCAAGTTTCATGTACAATGGTGCTCTTATAGTTTTTTGGAACACTTCTATCTGTGACCAAAAACACAATTTTTGCGAAAATATGTGTTATTTCATTGTACACATGTAAGAATATTCAAAGAATACTCTTCCAAACTTCATAAAAAGTTTGATTTAAGCCCTTTATTTTCCACCCCCGAGAATGGATTTGATAAAAAAAAATGTTGGGGGCCCCAATCCAAACAGAAATCCTTTAGCCACAACTCTTTTCTGTCCAAAACCTTTTTGTGGACAGATATCCTCAACGCTTTGTGGTACATAAAGTGAGAAGAGATAAGTCATTGTAAAAGTGGCTACTTAAGATGATATACTGAGTTCTTAATAACTCCACCCAGTATAATACTGTACCGGTCTCGATTATAGTTGACTGCTTATCTAGGAATTTAAATGATCTGCAATTAACAGTAATTATATAAAGATTGTAAGGATACTTGACAAAATCTATACAAGAATGTTTAAGCTGACCAAGTGCTGTACTTTCATTGAATGATGACATATGGTAACACTTTTTAATATCTGTCAAAGAGAGTAAAGGTACAATGTGGTCAAGACTTTAAAATATAAATTTTGCATTTAATGTACATGTATCAAAGTAGAATTGAAAGTGATGCTATATCACTCTATGTTGTTGTATAATAAAAGAAGTAAGAACACACCTTTTAAGAGTGACTAAAGATTTTTTATTTTTTCTTCGTTATTATACATGTATCCAAATTATGTGTGAGTTGGGTGAAAGGTACTTTTTTTAAAATGATAATAAAGTATTTATGAAAAGCATGAAGTATTTATTTTCCCTTTAGTGCTTATTTTCATTGAAAATTAACAGGTTGTATCAGGTAGCTATTTTAAGCATTGAATTCTCACTTCTTTGTCTGAGCCATCATTTCACTAGAATTTCTCTGGCAAATTCTGGATGTCAATAAAAACAAACAAAGAACATACAGACTACATTCGTGTTACATGGCACTGGCTATTTACCACTGGCGTGGTAAGCGTGGTAAATAGCCATAAGTACCCTTATAGCTATTTACCACGGCGTGGTAAATAAAATTAGTCATTTGATATTCCTTTCGAGAAAATTTGCTTAAAACTACCTAAATATTCAAAATATTGATTTTGTAATCAAATACTCATCATGTTTATCAAAAATTCCCTTTCTGAAAAAAAAAATGTTCTGTTTGTTTACAAATAAATGTCAAGGCTGATTGTGAAGAGTTTATGGTTCCAGGCTGGATACTTCTCAAATTCAAACCTATCTAAAAAAGTTCTGGGTTGTATGAAATTTGGTGTACATTCATTTGTTCTTTTGGCAATAGATTTTAATTACAAATTAGTCAAAATTTACATGTAACTTTGTTAATGAATTGTATCTATTAAATATCAATTTAGGACTAATCTTCCCCAAATGATCGTAAGGGTATTTTGTTTGAGAATAAAAAATAAATTCCTGCATTTTATGCAATTTGTCTCCTAATATTACTACGTTTTTACAAGTAACTATAGTGGTGTATTTAGAGGGTAGTGCCCTCGAAAAGCCAAAAAGGGGGTAAAAGTGCCCCTCACCCCCGTCAATGAAATCTTGGCCATGCCACTGAGTATAATTTTTTTTTATTTATCTAAGCGCTGTTAAACGCCCCTATACATTTCCGGTCTTTTTCATGTTCGCCATAGTTTGTTCGCCCTGGGTGCATTCACTCCACAATAATCCATAATCCAAAAAGTTTGGACAAAACTTGGTCATTTATAAATTTAAAAAGGATCTGTCCGCTATCATGTGACTAAAAAGACTGACTTGTTAGTCTTTCATTCAAACCTTTTCCAATTTGTCTATGAACTTGCCTTCACTATCACATGTTGATTTTATATTTCTAAACATGAACTTCGTAACAAACAAATAAATTATGTTAAAACTGCAAAAATTCCATAAAGTTCTCGTGAAAGTGGAAACATGGCTCACTTTTCAACTCGATTCATGCAGCTAGGAACAAATATATTTTTTTAAAGGATCAGTTACCCCAATTTTTTGACCAATACTTTAGTCTCAGAAACAGGGTTGTTTTAGCCAATCAGTAAAAGCGTTCACAGCTGACAGAAAAAATTTGAGCCTTCAAATTCACATGTATCAGAATTATCCATGTTTGAAACTAGTATACAGAGGAGGTCAGTAATGATACAGAAATTGACAGTGTTTGACTGTAGTTTCTAGTAGAGGTCAGTAATGATACAAAATGAAATGAAATGAAAGTAGTATATGAGCTTATAGATTGGTCGCATAGGGGATTCCCCATTCCATTTCATTTCATGGGGAAAATGCGACCAATATATAAGCTCCCAAAAAGAGTATATGAGCTTATATATTGGTCGCATAGGGGATTCCCCATTCCATTTCATTTCATGGGGAAAATGCAACCTATCTATAAGCTCCCAAAAAAGACCTAAATTCCCCACATTTCATAAATTCTTACAGCAAAACATCCTACATTTCATAAAACATCCTACATTTCATAAATTCTTACATTAAAAAAGACCTTTACACTAAAAACACCTTCAATCAATTTCCTACATTCCATCAAAAAAAGCAGATTAAAATAATGTAGAAGGGAGATAACTCTTTTTTTGAAATTTTCTACTCAAATTTTAAACCTTAAAAATGGCAAATAAAATACTAGATCCAATCTTTAAATTAAAGATCCGATTCGTTATTCATTTAACAAGAAAAAAGAGGATTATATTATCATCTCACCCACTGTTGGTTCTAAATCCCAGTTGAATGATGGTGGTAGAATTACCTTTGAAATAAATTCATTATCGAATTGGTTGCCTCTTTCCGATGCTTATTTCAGATGAGATTTCAAAATTAAAGATGGAACTCCCAATGAAAATCGTGTTCCACAAACAAATACAACGTTAGAAAACAATTTCTTTCCATCTTTATTTAGCGAGATGGTTTTGGAAGCTGGTTCAAATCTGGTAGAAACAATCAAACACCCTGGGGAATTCGACACAATGTTGAAAACAGTTTTATATCCTAAAGATTTCGTTTCAGTCTCAGGTTGGATACCCGATGTTGGCGATGGAAGTATTTTAAAGGAACCGGTAAGAAATCTTGCAAATGATGCCGATTTAGCTAGAGTAAGAGTTGTTGCTCGAAACACAATAGAAAGAGTGGGACGAGCAGCTAATCATGGATTCGAAAAACGAGTATAATAATGTTGTTGAGAATAATAGGTGGGTAAATTACGTAAATTGGAAATTATATCCTTTATTCAGTCTGTTGGAACATAGAAAAGTTTCTATAGGGTTACCATATAAAATTCATCTACAAAGAGAAATCAACGACAATAAGATATTCTTTGGAGAGAATGGTTCAGATGCAAAATTAGAAATAACGAATCTCCAACTTTTCATACCCGTAATAACACCATCAATTGAAGTAGAAACGAGAATATTCAACTCGTTAACTAAAGATATTGAAATAGCTTTTCTTCATCGTAACACAGTAGGTAGCATGACTTTAACGGGAGAATCCACCACATGGCCAATCACCAACACTATTAAACCAGCAAGATATTTAATAGTTGGTTTCAAGAACTTACCAGATTCTCAAACGAATAACAATAATGTCTTTAGAGTGGCAATGAACCAAACTCAAGATCCTTTAATCCATAAAGTTCAAGTAAGATTAAATAACGATAATTATCCTAACCAACCTTTAACAATTAATCCAACCACAAAGGATTATAATGAATTGTATAGAAACTATAAAAATATGTGTGAATTATTTGGAAATCTACCTCAGTTTGAATATGTAGATTTTGCACTTAATCATCCAATCTTCTGTTTTGATCTATCAGCTCACCAAGAAGATCTTTTCAAAACAGGAGTGAACATAAATATTCATATTGAAAAAACACAAGGAGATGTAACAGGTTATTGTTTATTATTGGAAGAAGCAAAACATTTAATTAAAATAGCAGATAGAAGAATGATAAGAATTGAGTAAAAAATACACCCTTAAAAATGAAAGTAGAAACTTTAGTTATGTAAATAATAGAAGCTGTTGAAACAGATTCCCCTACTGTAATAACTTTCAATGGTAAACAAATCAGCATAACTAAAAAACTTATTGATAAGTAAAAATAAGTCAACTAAAAAACTTATTGATAAGTAAAAAAAAGTCAGAGACGATATGGATTTAGAAAGAATTGACGCGAACGCAAAAGAAGGTGGATTTTTACCTCTCCTTCCTTTAATATTTGCTGGTATTACAGCGGCGGGTGTAGCTACTGGAGGAATATCTGCCGCAGTCAAAGCTGACAACGCAAAGAAAGCTGAAGCCACTGCAAACGCCGAAGCACGTAGACACAATTTAGCAATGGAAAAGGAGGCACGAGGTTCAAGAGTGGGAGAAATGATAGGCACAATAAAAGAATTTGGAAAAAGATTTGGGGAAGAAACCAAGAAAACTGTTAAACAAGGATTAAATAAATTAGTAGATAGTATTGACACGGGTGAAGTCAAAGTCAAACATAAAAGTAATGGAATATTTTTAAAAAATATACACACTTTCAAAGTATAAAGGAGAAGGAGTGATTTTTGGAACAAATTAAAATAATAAAAAATGGATAAAAAATTTAATCATTCAGAAATATTTCCTAATAACCCAATGCTCATGTGTATATGCGGTAGTTCCGGTTCTGGGAAAACTCATCTCACTTTTAACATGTTGACAACACCAAACCTTTTAGATTTCGATTCTCTGTATATCTACACAACAACATCAGAGTAATCGTATTATCAATTTCTCAAAGCTTTAGAATATCTACCAAAGAAAAATGTTCAAGACCTTTTTCAATATTACCAAGAAGAAGTGGAAATAAAAGATATCATAGATAACTACATCGAAGGAAAGAATCCAACAGATATAAAAGTTTTTCTTACGAAAAATGTTAATGATCTAGACTTTTCTAATATTGATAGCAAACGAAAGAGCTTAATATTGTTTGACAACTGCATAGCGCAAAGAAATCAAGCTGTTCAACAAGAATTCTTCACGAAGGGAAGATATCACAACTGTCACTGCATATACCAATCCCAGTCTTTTTACGGGATGGATTCTACGTTCATTAGAAAAAATGCAAATTGTTTTTTATTATTTGAATTAAACGATAAAGATTTATCACAAATCATTCAGTCGATAAATCACGGAATGGACAGAGATGCATTTAAAAAGGTTTGTAAAGTTCAATGGAGAAACCCAGATGATTATGGATATGTATTTGTAAATACTAGAAAACCTGCGGGTGAAAGAGTTATGATCGGCATATGTTAATTTTTTTTTTTTAAAATGGATAATTGGAATAATATTTTAAAAAGAAATAGAGAATATATCAAAGCTAAGAATAAAATAAAAACCCAAGTTGAAAATAACAGATTACAGCAACTCGGATTAACGGAAAATCTACAAACTCTATTTCAACCCATATTAAAATCTCAAGAGGATATTAAAAAGAGACTTATCCCTCCTATAGAACCTACACCTTCTATAGAACCTCCCAAATTGAATATCATGGTATTATAATTAGGACAGTAGATGATGTAAAACATTATTTTTCAAACCCTGACCCAGATTTACCAAAGAGCATTTCACCAATCATTGATGAAGAAGGGTTACGGTTGAATGGATTTAGAATAAGATTTAGGGCAAATAACCCCGAATTTATAATCGATAAAAAAGATTATATATACACATTAACGAAAGGATTAATAGATTTAGGATGTAGGATTTAGTAGCATACTCCAAATTTCTAGATACAATAAGAAAGTCAGGACCCGAAACAAGAAGATCAAAATAAGTTAAACTATATAAAAGAGTAATTGCACGTGATGAAGAGGAGTTAGGTGATTATGCTGAAGAGCATCCTCCTATCACACAAGAAATAGACGAATTCAAAGATATGGTATCTGGAGAAGGTATAACGTTTTTATCCGACAACAACGAGGAACTACTTAATAGATTACAAATAATATTAGCGGCAATGAAGGAAGGACATCGATCGCACAGACAATATAATGAAGTAAATTGTATATTAAAAAGACTCCTAGAGAAAGGTATCATAGATAAAAATGATTATAAAAGCGTGATTGAAAATAGTCATTAAAAAATGTCAAATAAAGAACAACTATTCGTCATCACCTCGATTAAATCAGACATCAAATTGTCTCTAGATTATGAGTACGAACTCGATCGCAATCAAAAATATGAATTGGGATTAAAGTATTTCTCTGTTTACAATTCCATTAGAAATATCAACGAAAAAAATAACCAAATAAAAATATCAACAGATAACGGAGTTACGTTCAAAACCATACGTTTACTACCAGGAAGCTATGAATACGTAGCCATTAACGAATACTTATCTGAATACGCAGGAAGCGTGAGCGGTAAAAACAATATTGAATTCGAAGGTAATTTGAATCTTAACAAAATAAAACTGATCTTGAGAAATAACAGTCAAGTTGATTTCAACGTAGAAAATTCATTGAATACGTTACTAGAATTTGATAAACGAGTATACACCCAATCCATTTTAGCACCACACAAAGCTAATATCGAGAATGATATCGGTGGATTTTTCAATAAATATAAACGTCAGATTATTTACAGTATTCCAACATTCACTGTACCGATTGGATATAGAATTATAGAGAAACCATTGCAAACGACGTATTTACCACTTAATTCCTTTATGATTAAAGATATAAATCTGGAAATCAAAGACGGTAAAAATAGGTTAATAGATTTTGGTAACGAGGAAATTGTTATTCAACTTCATTTAAAAAAAAAAAATCAACACTCTTCATTCTCTTCTTGAATAGTTAGATAATTGTGATCATCAAATTCATAGTTTTCATCTATGTTTAATTCTTTTCCGTCGTTGTAAGGATACATAATTCCTTCACTGTTTGGTGCTTTTCTCTTAACGAGATTCAGATAACTTCTGAAAACTTTCTTTTGTTTTTCATTAGGAATAACTATTCCATCAGTAAAACTTTTTACCCAAGGTTTATCAAATTCATTCGTTACGTCATGTCCACTAGCTAATTGAATGTAGTCTTCTACCTTAATCTTATAGTTAGAGTAACCCTTAAACGTTTTCTTTTCTTTTAGAATACCGTCGGAAGTTAGAATGATATTGTATTTTACTTTCGGCGCTAAATATAAACCAAATATGATTCCACCATCACCGTAATCATTCTTCCATTTGCTATATTCGTTTTCAGACACCAACCCAGCTTCATTTAATTTATCCCAATTACTAGACGAAATGTATACACTATCAGTATCTGTATAGTATATTTCCGGCTTATAAAATCCATCTATTATGTGAATGAAATTGTTCATTATTTTTTTTACTGTGGGATAATATAAATGCACTTAAATGAGCGGGTGTTAATCTAGTAAAATCCTTTGGAGGAACAAACTCTTTTTCTTCATCATTAATCTGAACGATATATATTGGGTCTCATTTACTTTTTCATAGCTTTTGACGTGTGAATCATAGTTGGCTTTAAAAGTCGCTTCACTCCATAGATGTCTCGATGTATTTATATCCTTCTGAATAGATTTACCGTATAAGGAATTACCTAATAATTTCATGCAATTACTAGCAACCATATCTCCTTCTTTTTTGTATTTATTCCTTAATTCCTTCAAAATTAATATATAATCTCTGTATGGTGTAGTTTTAAAATTTTCTTCATATACTATTCCATCTAATATTTTAATAATTTTACCACCGGATTTCACTATTTCTTGAATATCAACCGATGTTAAAACATCTGAACAGAAACCATTTCTAAACCTGATTTTACTGCCAGTTTCCTTCTTACCTATTCTATTCGTAAAAGTTATTTTATCTTTAGCTGGTATGGGTTGAAAGAACATGTTGGTAGGATATTTAAACCAGACTTTTAAAATAGCAGTTCTAGGTCTGAATTTTGCTCATTAAAAAGCTTGACAAATTTTTCATTTTCCTCTAGTCGAAAAGCTCTGGCACTTTCTGCTTTAGGATATTCACCTTCTGTCATGGCGGAAGCGTACAACCCATTAGTGTCAAATGCCATCAGTTTAGAATACTCCAGTTCTTTGAGTTTAGCGTGAACTTCCGTTTTATCTTTTGGGTTAACACAGTATTCTTTGAATAAATCAATTATGTTATTACTTTCAAGTTCTGTATATTCCTTTAATACGTTACAAATTTCATCCATTTTGTTCGTTTCAAATGATTTTCGATTTGCCGAAACTCTTCCTCCTTTAATACTTTGTCTGATAAAATATCTTATAAAAGGGTGAGTATGTGAGTAAACTTTTTCTACGTTTTCTTTTTCAGTGTGTTTTGGAACCATTCTAGTAGTTTCATACCATTCTTCTTCAACCATTTCTTTATCGTAATGATATAAATAATACCAACCCTTTAAAGATAAAGAAGGAGCCGTTAGATTATTGGAAACGTTTTGGAAGACAGTTTTTTTCATTGCTTGATTGTATTTTTTCAAACAAGCTCCGAGACATAACGTATCTCTTTTAGCGTAAGGTTCCCATTCGTGTCTTAAAGATTCCCAATTATCTTTAGTGTATTTTCAATATTAACATCCTCGATCTTTCTCAAATTTATTGGTAGATTAGATGAATTTCCCCATGCTGCCAAACTAGATGATTCGTGTTGATAGGAACATATGAAATTAATATTTTGCAAATAATTAGAGTTACCCTTTATTTCTTTCTGTCTTTTCCATTTTTTCTGTAAATCTTCATCAGTGAATGAACTAGTTAAAGGTAGAGACAGAATTCCTCTGGGCATTTTTAAAGGGCATTGTGTTAGTTTTTTTACGTTTTTGATCATGATCCAGTTATCAAAACCGCTAGCGTTATGAGCAATTAATGTTATTCTTTTCTGATCTATTTTTCCTAAAAGTTGTAACATTTGATCGATGCAATCTGTACCTACAAATATTTCTACTATATTAGTCATGAGTTTGTTGTAAAATTCTTCTGGAATGGGATCTGTCGGCTTTAAATTTGGAAAGAGATTATTTATTCTGTTAAACATTTTCCTTAGTTTTTCTAAATTAACTAAAGTGCAGGAATAAGGTATGGCTTTATTTTCGTTGTAGGTTTCGCAATCCCATGCGTATAAACAATCATCGTGAATGGTTGGAAAAACGTTTAGTTTTAGAGGTGATACTTGCGTTACCGTTTTATCATCTATACAAGTTCTCCATACATTTTCATCGTAATTATCTTCTATTTCTTTAATGCCTAAGGTTTTGTTATTTCTTCTTATCAAACAGAAATGTTCTTTGTGTAAATAAAAAACCCAATCTAATTCTTCCGTTACTTTCATTTTGAAAATGTCTATGTTTGGGCATATAAATTTGAAAATTAGTATTAAATTTCTTAATGAATTCACAGATTCTAGCAGTTGTCATAACTCCTTTTCTGTTTGATTTTGAAAAACTGTTGGTGAAATCTTGAAATTCTCTCGTGTATTCTTCGTTTAAAACACGATTAACGCACTTTACAAAGCAGCATCCATCGCTCGGTATATAACAATTTATACCGCTATATTCATTGATCTTTTTGAGTAGGGTAACACCACTACCCTTTTTTGATCTTTTTATTTCTTTGAAATTGTTTTTATGGAAAATCATTTTTCCTGTGAAATACCAATCGGAGGCATCCAATTTATTATCCACCGCAGTGAAGAAATTGACAAAAGTTTTGGTATTAAAACCTATAAATTTCATGTCTTGTTTGTATTTTCCATCTTGAGTTATCTCTCCATTTATTTCAATTTGCCCTTTAAATGTTGTAAATTCATTAGTGATAAACTTAATAACATCGTAAAAAAGTTCATTTGATATGAATTTATCAATTTTATTCATATTTTTTAATTCATCAGAGATAATCTTGTCAATAACATCGTCTAAAATTTTAATTGATATGAATTTTTTATCGTCTAAAATTTCAATTTTATTCATATTTTTAAAGCAACTATTTTTAACTAGGAATTTTTAACTTTTATTTATGATATTTCTACATCAAATTTATCTAACATTTCATTGAATTTTTCTAATGGTTATGTTCTTATCTTCTCTCGATCTTTCGAAAAATATAAACAATTTATTAAGATATGTATTTAAAATTTCTGTTTTCTTTTTATAATAAGCTTTCTGTTTTGATGTAAAACCTAAAGTAATCAAACCACAAGATGAAGTTTGAACGGCAGTGAACGCGGCTAATACAGTTATTGGAAGCATTAATCCACCGGTTACGGCTGTTGCCACTGTTATCCCTATTGTTATAACTGTACTTAATGTTTTGAAAGCAGAATCGATTCTACTCCATGTTTTTCTGCATTTGTTGAATTGTTTTAGTTTTTCTTTTAGTTCATTTTGTCTTTCTATCATGTAGTTTTGTCTACTTTCGAGTTCCATTTTTAGGTAATTAAATTAAGTGAACTTCTGATAAAGATGCTATGTGTTTATTAATAACAACTCATATAATTACTAACGATATTTGTTCTTTCGAATCATTAATCTTATTCAGATGAACTGAAAATTTTGGTTTTTCATTATAGATTATTATATTAACATATGCATCATCTCTTATTAAAAAATTTTGTTTTTGTTGACTTTTATGAATATCAATTGAGGTAAATATATCATTATCAACAAAATATAGTTTTACGTATTCAAAGTCTGTTGCTAGTAAAAACTCATAATGGCTTATATCTTTTTTTTCTGGTTCTGGATTTCTAATAATATTCAATGATGGTAGAGTTTCGGTCTCCAATATCATATCAAAATCACTCAATATAAATTCATCTTCTTCTTTATCTGGTATGATTTACATTCCAAAAACTATTTTTTTATTTTCCACTCGTTTTAATTTCATATAAGTGATTAACCTTGTTGTTTTCATCGTTAATTTCATATTCTTTAGTTTCTACATTTTTTGTACCATTGATAAACTGAAGAACTTTTTTAGCGTTAAATTTTTTATTAGATATTGTTGTATCTTGTCTGAAGAATAATGAATCAACTTTTACCTGAAAAGGGAAAGTAATTTCAATTATAAGTTTTCCTCGGAAAGTAAATTCTATTGGAGGATAATCATCATTATCATCATCAAAAATTTTTTTGGGAAGAATAGTATAATTTGGAACAGAATATACTCTAATATTTGCTGTAAATCCATATATTTTATATTCATAGTCTTTTGATTTATCAATATTCTCAGTAATAGATGCACTATAAAAACCCAAATATATAAATGGAAGATTGAAATAATATGATTCTTTCTTGAGAAACTTTTTTTGCGACTATATTTCTGTCCTGTTTTAAAACTAGGTTATTAATAGTGGTTATCGTTGTTGAATAACACTATCATCAATATTTTGTATTTGTTGATGAATATAGGTTTTGATTTCGCTATCATCAATATTTTGTATTTGTTGTTGAATAACAATATCTATGTTTTGTATTTGCTTTTTAATATTTGTTAGTTCTTTTTGTAATTCACTGTTGAGTTTAGTTTCCAGAGCATTTAATTCCTGTTGAAACGTATCTTAATTTTCATCTGGAATGTTATCTATCAATTGTTGAATGTCTAATTTTTGTTTTGCAATCTTATCCTCTAATTTAGATATTAATGAAATTAAATTTTGTAACTCAGTTTTGTTCGCTACGTCGACCAATTGTTCTTCAATAAAACTTTTTAAACTTGTTACTTCTTGTTGCAGTTTAGTTTCATTAACAAAATCTTTATTATTTAGTTGACGTTTCAAGAATCTTTTCACATTACTTATTTTATCTTCTAAATGGTTTTTATTTACTTCAATTGAATTTATTTGTTCCCGTAAATATTTCTTGTGAATGGCATCATTATCGTTTTCCGGAGACTTTAAATTAGTTATGCTAAAATTGTTCATATCTAAATCACCTTGAAGAGTGTCTCCGATTTGATCCACAAAGTAAGGTTTCGCTTTATTTATCCATGTTGTAGTGTTAGGTTTTTTGGTTTCTAAAGATAAAGAACCTAATCCAAACTTGTTCGCCATTTTTATTGAGTTAAATTTATTATAATTTCTTCAAACTGTTTTCCTAAACTCAACTGATATAAAACCAAAAGGGAAAGCTGACCACAAAACTTTCGTCCCGGTAATTGAATTTGAAATGTTGAACATTTGATTGGTTTATTAGTCAATTGGATTATCTCTTCAGTGGGTTCTAATCCATAAGAATCGAAGAAATAAAAGTCAGAGTCTTTGTACAAAGCAGAATGATGAACTCCTTTTTGATCGGAAGTTTGTTATAGCGTAAAATTTACCTTTCTTATATTTCAGATTATTTATTTCATCTCTCATACAATAATAAAACGGTGATATATTTATCTCATTCGCCCATCTCATAAGTTAAAAGTTTGTGGTTGTATCGGTTCCATATTTATTGAGAAATTCATTCATTTTTAAAAGTCGGTTTTTTGAAGTTCGTTTTGATAAAACCTACCTATGATTTGTTCTTTGTCTTGATTGATTAATTCATATGTTGGAGGTGATGTGGTGTTTACTTTATCAACGATGAATATTTCGTTTGTCCAGTATCCAACGTAACCTTTTTCGAATTTACTTTTATATTAGAAAATACGAACTCGATCTCCTACTTTAAATTTGGGTTTGATATTTAAATTCTTTATTTCATTTTCGTAGTTATGTTGTGCGTTAATTGACTTTATAATATTTGGATTACTCGAGGCTTGTGTTGGTGTGACACCTATAGATGAATGAATTTTGTTATTGTATTCATCTACAACCTCTGGTAATATTTTAAGCCATTTTTGGGATTTCAATTCCGTGAACTTTTTGAATAATTTATTTTTTAGAGTCCTGTTAAATCTTTCAATAACTACAGCTTTACCTTCGTTATGTGTACTGTAAATTTCAAATCCCAGAGATTTCATATTTTTGTTATAAAATTCACTTCCTTTATCTACCCATAGTTTTTCTGGATGACGGTTAGATTGTTTCATAATCGTTTCAAATGAGTGTTTGACTGATAATCCCGTTTTGTTTTTCAAAGGAATAACCCATACATATCTCGTATATAAATCTATAACTGTTAAGCAATATTTAAATCCTCTTTCGACTGGCATATGGAATAAATCGGCTGACCGTATTTCATCTTTTTCAAACACTTTGACTTATAAAAAGTTTTTAGTTTTTCTAAATTCTTTATGAATTTCATCCGCTAATCCCATACCTAATTTCATCTTTGCTTTCAAGAGTTTAATGATAAATGCTCTTTGCATTCTCTCTTTGAAAGTTGGATTTGGAATATTTTCAAGTTCTATTATCATTTGTCTGTCTGCTTCGTGTCTGAAGTTTATGTATTTGTTTCTGTATAAAATATCATGTTTAAGTGCAGCGGCGTCAATTCTATTGACTGGTTCTTCCCCTGGTTTGGGTTTATCGTTTTCGACTAATCGTAGATCTAACCTAGTGCCTGGACCGGTGTAATTATGACCTGGAAGATGTTTTTCTCCGGGATATTTCGCCCATGGAAATCCAGGAAAGAACCCAATGATTTTTGTATATCTCCTGAACCGAAATAAGTTTTTGGAGCGTGAGCGACTATCATTTTTATCCTATAACTTTAAAACCTTTTTCTTTCCTTTCTTCTAATCTCCTGTTTCGAAGTTCTCTTATTAGCTCTAATTCTTTCAACTCGTTAGATTGTTTCACTGTGTCGCTTATACTCATTCCTGCTTCTGCGATTGAGCCGATGGCTTTCGCTCCGGTTGAAAGGAGTGATTTGTTTTTTGAAACAAAGCTAGCTACTTTTGGAATTATTGTTTTACCTAGAGAAAATAATGAAGAAAAGATACCGTCGCCCGAATAATCTTCGATTCTGTGTTGTTCGTGTCTTAGAATTAAACTCATCCTATTTTTAAATGAGTTAATTTAGTCTGTTTTTTATCCAAAAAAAGTTATCTCCCTTCTACATTGCATAAAACGAGGTTATTAAAAACCGTATGATATGTTATTTTATATAAGGGTATTTTTAATATGCTTTTTTTGATGGAATGTAGGAAATTGATTGAAGGTGTTTTTGGTGTATAGATCTTTTTTAATGTAAGAATTTATGAAATGTAGGATGTTTTGCTGTAAGAATTTATGAAATGTAGGGAATTTAGGTCTTTTTTGGGAGCTTATAGATAGGTTGCATTTTCCCCATGAAATGGAATGGGGAATCCCCTATGCGACCAATATATAAGCTCATATACTCTTTTTGGTATCACTACAGATATTGATGCTGTTTGACTGCAGTATGTATTCTAGGCCGGTAATAATACAGATGTTGATACTGTTTAACTGTAGTGTGTAGTAGAGGTTAGTAATGATACCAATATTGATAGTGTTTCATTTTAGTATATAGTAGAGATCAGTAATAATACAGATATTGATAGTGTTTGACAGTAGTATGTAGTCTAGGTCAGTATTAATACAGATATTGATACTGTTTGATTGTACTTTGTAGTAAAGGTTAGTAATGATACAGATATTGATAGTGTTTCAATGTAGTATAGTTTAGTAATGATACAGATATAGATACTTTTTGACTAGTATGTAGTCAAGGTTAGTAATGATACTGATATTGATAGTGTTTGACTGTAGTATGTAGTAGAGGTCAGTAATGATACAGATATTATATCATCATTACTGTCCTCTACTACACACTACAGTCAAACACAGTTTATTTTCATAGGGCTCGTGATAGGTTAATAATAAACAATTTCACAAAGTTTCGTCCAAATTGTTAAGAATTGTGCCTTCTCACGAATTTTGCTACAGACTGAAAGACAAGAGCAAAAACATAACAATCAAAACATTGTAAATTTATAATTGTATTGATTTTTCATTCATAATAATCACTCCTATGATAAAATACTATTCAAATTAGATGCTCAGTAGGAAGACTTTGTTATTTTCCTTGCACCAATAGTCTAAATATAGAAACAGACAATCCTACGCATATGATCCGTCGCATTGAGTCTATTTCTAGCTTTAGTTTTGATGACTAAAGTGTCAAGGTTCTCTTGGGTTCATCGTGTTGAAGGGCACAACTCTACAATTCTTCTCGTACAATAGTTAGCCGCACCCTACACCTCAGGGGGTGAAAAGAAACCAAGACTGGGAACAAGGAATATACTGTATTATAGCTTGGAATTTAAAAATTCAATAAAAGTCTGTCAAAAGTATAGCTTTAAAATGTATATATAAACGAATTGCAGACTAATAGACAGCTGGAAATGCACACAATACCGAGGACGAGGTGTGATTATAAACACGCATTCTGTATGGTTCACATCATATAGCGATTGCAGAAAATTTTTAGATTGTGAAATTTAGCGTCCAAAATGCCTGAAAACCATAGTCACCGATATTAAATATGGTGGATATTTTCCTTCGCTGGAGATATTAAAATGCTTATTTTAGTGAGCTAACTATGTGAAATGTGCACAATATTTATATTTTTGAAACCTAAAATATGTGTTTTTTTGAAATGTTAAAAAAAATTGGATGAAATCCACCAAATGAAAAAAAACGCGGTAAAATTTAGTTACCACGTTTTGTCTCCATAGACTTACATGGTGACATTAGCCTAATTTAACAAGTTACCACGCCGTGATATATAGCTGTAAGGGTTCTTATGGCTATAAGCCAGGGTTATCACACCAGTGGTAAATAGCCACTGCCGTGTTACATGACAGACCAAAATGGTCCAATTTCCCCGTTTCTGAATTCCACAGAATTGAGTATTCTTGTCATTGTTCTACAAGTTGATCTAATATTGCATCATTCACAAGATCATCTATGGTTGCCATGTTGATACCATGTGGCCTCCTGATCAAGTATCAAACATGATAAATATTTTCCTCACAGCCTCCTGAGCCAGAAATATCGACATCTTGAGGCAGGCAGCTCAGCCTGTCGTATACGGCAGACTTTATGTTTCTTCACTGGTCAGTGTTATACCATGTTATAGAATGTTATAAAAAATTAGCATTGACAATTGCAATACGCCCACAATTGTAATGGAAGTCAAGTCATCCAGGAGGTTGACAATAGCTATCAATAATTAAACATTCCATGAGTAATATTATCGTACTATATACTATAACAAAATAAGTCAAGAAACAAGCTCTCTATCGTGTCCACAACACTTAAAGCCACTTAAGACTTTGTTAACAATTCTGCCAGTTGGTAGTGGGTGTATGTTACCTTGCCTGGCAGACTATCTTTTTGAATGTAGGAATCCATGTTCTGGACATTCCCTCATTCAAGCATGGGGATATCAGAAAAATTTATCCCACAAGGTCAAGTCACATAAATTAGATTTAACCTGGAGACTCCATAGTGATGATTTTGAGTTACTTCCAGGTCGGATATTTTCGTATTTCTTTCTTGCAGTTGCATACACGAACAATGATGCAATTGACAAAAAAAAAAAAGCAATTGTACCCCCTCTTCATTTTTTAACAAATTCTAATATAGCTTGCCAGGCAATGTAACATACCCCCACTTGCAGCTTGCAGAAATGACTAAAATATGAATCTTTTCATTTCAAAGATATTCATGCATTTGTAGTTTGAATTTATTCAAGTATCGGATTTTTCATCATTTTGACCTCATATTTTTAGGGATATTAGACATCTTTTCACTAAATAACAGCTTTATAGGTGGCACAACTTTGTATACTGAAAGTAATAACTATAATTTCACATTTTTAATTGAATTAATTCTCAATACAGTCACAATTTTCATCAAAGATAGCTTGCCAGACAGGTAATATCACCCACTGGCAGCTTTGATTTTAACTAAACATATTTGGTAGTACAGTAACAATCACCAGTATGAAATATTCAACCTTCAGTCCTACACTTCTTTTGAACAATATTGCCATGTTTTGTAAAAACCAGGCAAAAAATTGGCCTTTCAGTGTTTACAAGATAAAAATTGAATGTGTTGTCAAGATTGAGGTCATTAACTAAAATAGTTCT